AAAACCCCAAACCCCCCCGAATTTCTCCCGTCGGCGGGTCTGCGCGTCTCCTCCGCGGGCGAGCACCCACCGGGAGCTGTTTCTGAAATGGTGAAAATCCAGCGTTTCCAGTGAAAAGAATCCTCGGGCGCTGGGCGGGGAGGGAACGCAGCGGGCTGGGGTGCCGAAGGGCTCGTTCTCACCCGGAGATGCGGCGCAGGGCAGAGCTGCGGCTGCCTTTTTGGGGGGGAAAAAAGTCGTTTTCTCCACGTTCCTTGTGTGGAAAAGCGGGAGAGAAATTGCGCTTCCCGGCCGTAGAGGTTGGCTCCATCATTTAGCTTTAAGCGGAGCACGCTGCCGGCTTCTTCCAAACAAACCTCAAGGAAATCGGGCTGTGCCGACCGAGGGGAGAGAAATAAATCCCCCAAAAAGCGGGTGTGGGGGGCAGAGCCCCGCCTGGTCCCTCGCAGCCTCCTCCTCCCTGGGTTCCAAAGAGTAAAATCAGAATTTCAGCATTTCATCCCCGATAAACGCCGCTGAGTTGTTCGTTTAAACTGAAATAAGAACGCTGTATTTTAATGGCCATATGGCAGCATTTTCTCCAAGGCTTCGAATGTGTACATGCAATGTCAGATATATTTTGACTTCTCTGCATTAATTAAAAGCAGTGATGTTAGGAATTATTTGCATGTAATAACTGTTTACTTGTTCCTCTTTATGAAACTTGAATAGTTTACATTCTTTCATACATTTCCTTTTTCCTGTTGGCTCCTTCTCCCTGTTGCAGTTTCTTTAAAACTCTCCACTTAACTGGTTGCAGGTTGATGGATGGAAAATGTTTTTCTTTTATGAATTAAGCTTTTATTTCTGTAATCAATTATTCTCTTAGGCTCGTTTTCTTTCTGTGTTTTTTTTTTTTTCATCCTCGTTACACAAATTTCCAAGCTGAATGCAACCCAATCTCAGCTTGACTCTTGAATTCATTATTAACTTTCCTCCTCTGCAGTCACAAGCTCTGGATTAACAGTAGTTTACAGTCTCGGAAAGCACTTGGGTGAATAATCTCCTTCCTCGGGCAGAGTACTAGCAAATGCTCATTACAGCAGTGGAAACACCTCCACTGCCTCTGACAGAGCAAGGAGTGTAACCGAAGTGCTGATTCTGAAAAATTTTTCATTCACATATTCTTGTGGGATAAGACTTTGTGATATTTGCAGAGAAATAACCCCGTTGGGGCTCCCTGGGGCTGCGCCCCGCAGTTTTCTCGCAGCATGAAGCGTGCACTTAGTTCCTGGTGTCCGGCCGTGCTTTCCCAGCGAGGGGCTCTGCCGGACCCATTTAGCGTGAAAAATTGTTTCTATCGAATTTTTGTTGGGAGTGTCGCGCTCGCTTTCCCTTGTTTGGCTCAGTCTCTGAGAGCCCGGTGCTGAGTTCGTTTGTTCTGGCAGAAATCTGGATTTGCTGCGAAACCGTTGTGTAAATGTTTGTGTGAAGCTGCCGTGCGGACGTGTGCGTCTGTCAACGGGCGCAGTCCCCCGTACGTCTGCCCGAGCTGCGGGAGCCCTGTGAAATCAGCAGCGGCCAGGCTCTCGCTTTGAAAATACAACTTGGACTGGTTCAGAATTGGGCATTTTTAGTGTTAACGTGGCTGGGATCGTTCCGGCACTGGGAGCTGGGAAGAGCAGGTCCTTCCCCTCTCCCCTCCAAAATTACCATCTCCATTTCTGAGACAAAAG